CGAGCACAGACACACACACACATAGATTACTACAGGGTGTAGTTGCAAATATTTCCTGTATGGAGTATTTCAGTTGTGCTACAGACCTACATACACCACAGTGACTAGTGGTTTTAATTACACTTATTCAAGTAACAGGGGCATGTCATCCCTCTGTTAAGGTTATGTGACAGAGGTGCCCATTGTTGCATTGATTGCAATTCACTTTCATTCACAATGAAGAATTACAATGACAATGACAAAAATATATAAATTATTTGATTTGGACTGTCAGTTTGTTGAGATCAACAGAGACTGACCCTTTTTCAGTCATATGTTGCCTCACATCATCTGCTAAAAGTTGCACGTGAACTTAAAAGTTGTTTGTTCTGACACTGAACCGTGGAAAAGCAGAAGGGTCTCTCTGTTGGAGATGTACAGAGGTCTTGGAAGTATTTATATAGTCATAGAGATGCTGGAGAACCTCTTCCTGCTGGCCAGCACCCCTAACTCACCAACTCCAAGATTCATTGCTGACAGTGATGGATGACCTGAAGGAGGTGGGCCATAGGTCATTGTATTGTCAGATGCAATGTCTATGGCAGAGTGTGTAAGGATTGGATAGTTGAATACATGTGGGATTAACTGTGAGGTGAAGGTGTCTGCTCTGGAGTCTCCTAGTCTGTGTGCTATAAAACATGCAGTGCTTATATCACTATAATGGATCAAATGTTTATGTGTCTGTAATTGAGGAAACAAGGTTACCTATCCATCATCATCTGTTTCATACACCATACATTTTTGTACTTGATTATTTTGGTGCACATACTAGACTATATAATACAACATGTTATGTTCTTTATTTTAGCAAAACTTACACATCTCTTATAATTGTTTTATCACCTTGTTAACTCTTTTAGCTGTTCATTTCTTTATCATTTTCTCTTTCTTCATCCCAGCCCTTCTCTCTCATGTTTGTCACAGACACTTAAAACACACATGAACAGCTGCTTGCTGTGTCTCACTCTTTAGTGAATCCCTGTAGAGTGGTGAAAATATAAGTGCCACCAAAGCATTTACCTAAGCTCCGCACACACATGCATACACACACACACACACACACACACACACACACACACACACACACACACACACACACACAAACAAACACTCAAGACACATACTTACAAAGATGCACTTACACACAAATGCACACAATGTCACACACACCCAGCTGGTAATGTTGTTGAGATTAAAAAAAAATAGACATCAGAAAGACAAGAGGACAACTGGTCAGCTGGGAAAAGAGTAGGTGTGTATGTGTGTGTGTCTTTGATTATGTGTGTGCTTGCTGCCCCAACTTCCTCATGTGTGTGTGTCCATAGGGGAACTCTGTGAGAAAGTCAATCCACTGTGATTTCATCTCTCAACATGGCATATAGTCTCGTCCCCTCGGAGCACAAAGTGCATGCATGCACACACTGGTCACACATACAGTGTGTGTTGTGTGTGTGTGTGTGTGTGTGTGTACTACAGCCCAACCAACAATGGATTTTTGAAGCTGATACCGTTTATATATTTTGATGAGAGCTGTTTTTAACTAACACATAGCAACAGACATATTTGGTTGTTTGATAAGAAACTTTTAAATTTAGTTATTTGTGAGTTGGGAGCAAGATACTGAGAAGGATGTCACTGGGAATTACATTTGTATCAGAAACGACTATAAACAAAAACTATTACAACAAAAATATACTAGTAGTAGAGTTTTTGGGGTTTTTTAAAGTTCTTTTTGGGCATTTTTTGCCTTTATTGACAGCCGGAGTGATAGAGAGACAGGAAAGTGAATGACATACAGCAAATGGCCGCAAGTCGGATTCAAACCCACGGCCACTGCAGGTAGGACTGAGCCTTAATGGTTCGCACTCCACCAGGTGAGCCACCGGGGCACCCCGATTAGTAGTAGAGATTAAAAATGAGAGTTAAATAGAGAGTCTACGAAATGCAAGATAAATGGTATAGGTGTGTGTGTGTGTGTGCACGTGTGTGTGCCTGAGACAGAGATTGACATTAGCTAAAATGCTCCTTTCATTGTGTGAGCGTGCAGATGTGTACCCCTAGTCTGTGTCAGTGGAAGAGTCTTCAGTGTGGTTGTGTTTGTGCTGGTATGCATGTACACACAAACTGTGTATGTGTGCACTTGCTCTGCACTTTGAGCCAAACCCCTTGTAATATATTCAGGTATTTAAAAGTGTTTGGTTTGTTTAAAGTTGTGAAGGGGTTTTGGTCTCCTAGAGAGCTCGGATAACCCTAATCCACAACACACATTTTTATCAGTAGTTCATTGGCAGGGCTAAATATTGACTTATCATTAAGTGGAATGACTGAAACCCTAATAATAATTCACGTTGTCTAAGCACCTTGTGTTGACGAGCTGCTCCCGATGCTATTAACGAATGTATGCAAATCCAACATAAATCTGAAGATTAGGGCTGAAGCATTCTGCGATGCAAGAGAGAAAACAAGAGGTGTGTGATAAAATGTTGTCAACGCATACACACACATGCATACGCTTGCACAAGCACACACAGCTTACAGAGAGGAAGAGAAAATAGGAGGTGTGTGTGTCAAAACGTTAACACAAATGTGCAATCATGTCACATACACCCATACACAGATAACGCTCACAAAGACAGGGATTGGATTTCTGCTGAATGTGTGATAATACATAGTGAAGTTTAGCTGCAGAACAGTAAACAAACGACATAGACGTACATTGTGAAGTGAGTTGAGAGCGACCGACTTATAGTGGAAGGAAAAGAGGATGACAGAGGGGTGGAAATGAGGAAGAAACATGATGAGGAGAGAAGAGGACAAGAGAGGAACAAGCAGATACATGGTCAGAAGATACATGTAGGAACTGAGAAATGAAAAGGAGACAGTAAGAGAAGGTAGAACATGGGTAACCTAAAAAAAGGTAGCCAAAGACAGACAGCTGTAGAGGTGGGGAGATATTGGTTGAAAAAATTGTTCAAAGGAATCAGAGAGAGGGAAGAAAGAAGGCAGGAGAAAACTCCTGAACTTCAGGTTACAAGTGATAAAGTTGTCATTTCCTTGTGTCAGAAAGAGAGAATCATGATATTCTGTGTTTGAACAGAGCCATGTGAGATGATACGGAGAAAGACAGTTGGACTTGAGAGAGTAGATGCAGGGACTAGACGCAAGCGTAAATGAGTAAAAAGTGAGTTATGGAGGGCCTTGTGTCCGGATGGAAGAGAGGAGTAGAGGTGAGGATGGCGAGAGGACGAGGGATAAGTGGAGAGAAGCTATTTTGGAAAAGTGTTGAGCTGTTTATTTGCGCGTCATTGAAGCTGAAGTAAGGCGCTGGGGGAATTGGCCACCAAGCCCCCGCTCTGCAACAGCTGCCGCTGCTAAGTGAGTTACTAGCCGTCAGACTGCCTTTATGTCACACAATCACACACACATACACATGCATTTTCCTGTCACATGGTGCCTGTGATGGATACAGTGAGGATATAATGCACTGCAGCACCATTCTCCACTTTTGGCCTTTAAGTGAAATGATTGCTTAAATTAACAGCATTTCCTGTGCTCAAAGAGTGAATGCTGATTAGGGTGTTAAACAATAAGTTATTTATCACTCCTCAACTAGCTGCAGCCTCATTAAAGGCTGAGGCCATGATACAAAGCAATGACTTAGTGTAATGTCTGCTGTCAAATAAAATGGGCACCACAGCTGGGGGTAGATAGTGCCACAGATCAGCATGTCATCAACTGTTAGGATAAATAAGCTAAACACCTTATGAAAGTTAGATTATTTTAGCTGTAAAATAAACAAAATCCCAAACAGTTTTTCATTCTGATTCAAAACGAGAAGCTATTACTTCTCATTAAAACATGATTTGTCCTCCATCCATCATTACAGTTATGATATTTTAGCCGTGCCGTGCCATGCTCATTTATATTTCTAATACGTCCTCACAGCATGTGGTTGCTGACTCAGTATTATAGCAGGACAATATTATAGCCTTAATCCATTGCAAGGCCAAAGCATGACAGTCCTGGCCCCTCAACTAAGCTGTGCTGACGTCATAGTAACCAGACTGGTTCAACCTTATTTCTTAGTTCAACATTATTTTCTCCACCTAGTATCTTTCGACCTCAAATCTGCAGACACTAAAACAGTTTTTAATTTGTCATTCCAAGTGATTCAAGTTATTTGGATTTGAAATATGAAGTGGAGAAAGTGAAGAAACATGCTTGAAATGTGATATACACCTGAAAAACCTTTACAAGGAAATGGGGTGATATCATGTATTTTAAATGTCACCTTGCTGGTGAAGGTGAAGTGGTGGCAGACAGACATCACCTATCACTGTCAGAGATGGCAGCTCTCAGAAAAACACACTTCCTCTTCCCCTGCACTTTTCTGACGGCATAGACTGAATATTGCTACTGTATAGAGAGATGAATACAGGAGAAGAAAAGAGGCGTGCAGCGGAGGAGGGAGAGGAGAGGAGGATGTATAGAAGCGTTGATAAGAGAAAATGCACACTAATATTCAGAGCAGCTTAAATACTCTATCTGCGCAGATGGGGAAATAGAGATCGAATAGAGCAGGAACAGGGAGTATGGGAAGTGAGAGGAGAGACAACACAGCCAAGTGTTGACTGAATATTTTTACAGTGTGGAGAGAGGACAACTGTAAAAGAGGAGGAGGTGAAGGGAAAGGAACTGAGGAATGAAGAGAGGGTATGATGAGAGGAGGACAGGAGAAAAAAAGGAAAGAGGCAGAATAAAAGCATGAGTCGTATTAGAGGATGCCCTTTGTGGAGAAGCAGAGCAGCAGAGGATAAGTAGAGTTCATGAGGAAAAGAATAGAATGGCCAACAGTGAAAGGTGTACCGTACAAATTAATTTCCTGCTACAGTAAAGTGAAAGTAAAGTAAAATGAAAAAGCAGCTAAAACAATAATATGTTGCATTTTTTCTTGTCTTTAGGTTTTGCCTGCTGTGGGCAAGAGTATATAAACTCTTCAACCTCTCTTTGCTGTGTGGGCAAAGACGGGTATCCCACAATGCACCCTGCTGGCAATGCCACTGTCACACTGCAGTGTTGTGGGTCAAAGGTCATACATCAAGAAGAAGAATGCTGCAATGGGATTGGCTACGACCCTCAACGACACGTGTGTGCTGATCGACCCACCCCTGGCTTGTCAATGCAGGTATGTGAGACGTGTTTGTCTGTATCTCTGTCTCTGTGTTTTTTTTCCGTCATCTTCACTGGATGAGGCTGTATAGTGTTCCAGTGGTGCCGTAGGTCCATCACATCTTCTCTGCAGTTGAAATTTCTACTAAACGTGCTGACCTTTCCAATGTCTGTGGTGTTGTTTTGCCTGTATTTTACTCATTCTAGTTACTGTTTAATCTTTCTTGTGTATCTGTATTTCCTGCATAGTGTACTGTATATTAATTGTGGGAAAACTAGCATTTTCCACCTTTTCTTTACTGAGGAGAAGTGACATATAAACAACAAAAACTAAATTTACTAAAAGTACAAAGAGACCTAGTCAGTTACAATTGAAAAACATCTATTAATAGGAAATTTACATCAAGTGCCAATAAAAATGGGAATAAAATTCACAAGTGACTCCCATGGCTCGGAAATAGATAGTGGACTACATAAAAAAGACCCAGGAATTACATGTCTAACGGACATGTCTCTCTCTGTCTCTCTCTCGTTCTCTCTCTCTCTCGCTCTCTCGCTCTCTTTCTTTCACTCTCACTCTTTCTCTCTCTCTCTCTCTCTCTCTCTCTCTCTCTTTCTTCTTCTCTCTCTAAAACTCACACACATTGTCACATCAGGAGTTGGGGACTGGGCCATCTTCCATTTATCAACTGGGGTCATGTGGTGTTTGTGTGTTCCTAAGTCAGCATGAGAAAAAGCACACGCTTACGCACATACACACATGGAGGCACGCACACACTCAGGGACAAAGAGTAGGAACTCTCATTAGCTCTAATGATGTCATTAAGGACCATGCGCAGATACACACAATCACGCACATAGTTACATTCTGCAAGTAAAGGTGTGTGTTAGAAACAGACACTTCAGATTTCTACAGTTTTTGCTTACAACATGTAAGACTCTGTGGTAGTTAATATGTACAGTGAGACTACATAGAGACTGTTCATTTAAAGAAAGTAAAGTTTTTCGACCTCAATAGTTTGACTTTTCTCCCTTTTTGAGTTCCATTCCCCTGACTTTGCTGTGTAACTGCTCATATACTATTTAACCTCTCCCTCTTCCCATCCCATCCCCTTTCCTCCTCTTCATTCTCTCCTTCTTTCTGTCTCTCCCTCCTTCCTCTGTCCAGCACCAGTGTCTGCAGGGTACCATGTGTCCTGTAGCTGCAGCGTCTACAGCTTACTGTGGATCCTGTGACCTCGATCCATCTATGACCGCCTGCACATGGGTCTTGTCTGCGCACACACACACTGACACACCCTCCACAATGTACTCACCTGACATCAGCACCACACAGGAAACTCTTACAACAGGCCTGTCTCCAGATACAAACAGAAGTGATAACACATACGAAATGGGAGACATATACCCTCACACACACACTGAGAACTTGCGATATGAGGGAAGCCTGTGCTCGTCACATGAGGAAATAGTGTACAGCGGAGATGCCAGCAGATTTACCTATACAGGTAATTGGTGTGTTTCTGTGTGCGTGTATATGTTTGTGTGTTGGTGTGTATTCAGTGGAAAAACAGGCTGTAATTTAGCCTAATTGAGTTAATTTTATTTTATTTTTTCTTGAACTTTCATTCATCTAGTGAATGTCACTTTTGTAAGAGTCTTTGGTAATAAGCCCCCCTTTCTGACCCTAACTGTTTTACCACCTCTTAGCTGTTTTATCATCTACCTTTAAAACAATTTTTAATGTGCCATTGAGGAATTTTTGTATCTCCAAATCCCTCCTGTGAGCTTCCTCTTCAAGTCATCACTGCTCATCACTGCACTCTGCCTCAAACATTTGTTGAAATTTTTGGAAACTAAAGTTTTAGCTGCGTGTGAGTCAGTTAGTGATCAGCCAGGCAGATTAAACACCTGCTTCTTTCAAACTACTCATTCCCAGAGGAAGACTTGAGGGGGCTCTTCTTATCCAAATTTGTAGTTTCAAGTATCAAATCAAGTTACCTGAGTGAAATCACACAAGAAGCTTCTGTACACCTTCCACCTTTGATATAGCTTTCTTTTACATAATGTTGCAGTTGAAATATGATGAAAAAATGAATGCCTCAGTTCGGCAACATTGTCATGATGTATTTGAGTTTTAAACATTTGGACCAGAATGCATTTGCGTCCGTCACTCTGACCTATGACTGCTGGAAATCCAGACTCTCACCTCAGTCCTCTCAGACACTACAACAACTAATACACAGTAGGGGTGTCGCAGTGTACTGGCATTGACGATAACTGTGATAAAAAATGAAATATTGGTATTGTGTTGATAATATACATATTATGATAATATTGTGATGACAGCCTTGTGGATCTTTTATCAGTTTATCTGGTTGCCTTTTCATTATCCATTAAGTGTTATTGTTGTTTTTCTAGCCTTTGTACAGTAATGGTTACAGACTCTTGCCAGAAAAGACACAAAACACACAATTAACAAAGTTAAAGATGAATTTGACTGATAGCATTATCATTATTATAATTACCACATTTTTGTAGAGATATCACAATAATATTGTTATCTGGAACTCTTTTGGCCATGATAATCGTGTTGCGAAAATCTGATATCATGACAGCCTTAATACAGAATGTACCCATCTGTGAAAAACATCGTTCATAGAAAATGAGAGCCTGCAGAAACCAATTCTGCATTTACTCTAAATGTGTCAGCCGCTGCAATCAACGGGCTTTAGAGACAGATGCCCTTCCACACACTCACTCATACACCAAGGCAGCTGTTGCAATGTACATTAATAGCTGTAACGTGGTAACTCTCTCTGTGCTGTACACTTGTGTGTCATTAAAACTTAGAGATGGGCGCTTAAAAGCCATTTCAATGTTCTGTACTATTTATCAGCCCAAAGGGAGTAGGAGTGTGTGTGTGTGTGTGTGTGTGTGTGTGTGTGTGTGTGTGTGTGTGTGTGTGTGTGTGTGTGTGTGTGTGTTGGTATTTGTTGGTGTCAGGATTTTTTGTCTGTCCACACCATTTATCTGGGTAGTTACATCTGTTTAATCAAAACTAATTGTGGTTGTGTGTGTTATATGTGTGTGGGTGGTTATAATTACATGTGTTTTGTGTGTGTTTGTGTCAATTTAGTTACTATTTAAGTGTCCCTCTGTTGTGAATGTTGTTCTGTGTATGTGTTTCTGTTATGTGTGTGTGTGTGTGTGTGTGTGTGTGT